GGGTACCAATTCCTCAACGGGGCAAACCCCATGCTTTTGAGGCGCTCTAAGAGCCTGCCAGCCCGGCTGGTGCTGCCCCCGGGGATGGAAGACTTGCATGCCCAGCTGGACAAAGAGCTTCAGGTGCCCTGCTCCCTCCATGCACGCCCCAGCTAGCATCCCACCTCCTACTCTCGTTTTTCCTCTTTCCTTCCTCTGCTCCATGTGCACTACGGTCACCTGTGTTCTCCTTTACCTGCTCTGATGGCTTCTCCACTTTGGCACCAGGTAGTTCTTTGTTATAGGGCATTATCCTGAGCACTACAGGATTTTACTACCGGTCCCGGGTTTTACTTACAAAAATACACTCCCCCAGTTGTGACCCCAAATTGTCTCTAGACACTGCCACCTGTGTGTGTGCGTGAGCCACAGAGCACCTCTACTTGAGGATTGTGATCTAAACAGTCTTTCCTGCATTTCCATTTTGTCTCCTCCTTTCTCATCTACCTTCGTTTCTTCTCCTAGTGAAATGTATCTCAGCCTCAGCTTTAAAAGCTCAAGCTTCTGCAGCAGAACCACAAGAAAGATAAGAAAGATGGGATGAAGGCTTGCAGAGCTGGAATTACTTGTGGAGGATGGGGGAGGAAAAAAGAAACGTTTGGTGGCACATTTGGCCCAAGTGGCAGAGGAGGGGATAAGAGAAGACATTGGTTGGGAGTGGTGGTATATATTAGGCAACCAGAAAGTTCAATTCACAGAGCTCAAAATCTGATGGAAAATATTGAATATTAAATCTTGCATTCAGGGCCGGCATGTTAACTCAGTGGTCTAATGCTTAGGCAAGCTCAGGGACCTCAGTTTTATCCAGGCACCATATGCCATGCCAGCTCTGCCCCCAGGGCAGGCTAAGCCAGCCACTAAATAAATACATAAATAAATATTTTTTAAAAATCTTGGTTTCAGAGGTTTGGTACTGGGCAAACAATTGGTGTTTAAAATAAGACATGGAGGGGCTGAAGAAGGATCCACTTTGAAGGCTCCACCTTGGCAAATGAGAGAAGGTCCAGCAGTGACACCAACATCCTTCTCTCCGTGCCCACCCCTCCAGGCTGGATCTCTGTTTGAAGCTGATTTCTCCCTGCTGGATGGAATTAAGCCAAATGTCATCGCCTTTAAGCAGCAGTATGTGGCAGCCCCTTTGGTCATGCTGAAGCTACAGCCAGATGGAAGACTTTTACCCATGGCCATTCAGGTAAAAGGACCCAATTATCTTTTTTCCTGTGCATTGATCTCCTCTGGGGAATTAGGCCCACAGGTCTTCAGCTTCCATCCTCTCTTCTGCATAGCTCCAGCCACCTCAACAGGGACAGCCTCCTCCTCTGCTCTTCCTGCCTTCAGATCCCCCCATGGCCTGGCTGCTGGCCAAGATATGGGTCCGTAGCTCTGATTTCCAGTTGCACCAGCTACAGTCACATCTGCTAAGGGGACATCTGGTGGCTGAGACCATTTCTGTGGCCACAATGAGGAGCTTGCCGAGCCTTCATCCTATCTACAAGGTACTTCTAAATCTAATCTCTGTGGTTTTGCATCTAACTACCCTCCCTGCTTCACGCTCCTAGTCTCCGTAGGAGCCTGCCCAGGGTCTAACATTGTGGCTTACTAGGTTAGGTTGGCTGCATTGTTAGTTGATACACACACACACACACACACACACACACACCCCAGTGTGTGGTGGAAATACTCAGGCACACATTTGCTTTGAGTTGGGCAAAGAGAACAGGTTTTCCAGAGGAGCAGAAACTTTGATGGAGGCATTGTCAAGTGGATAGTGGGGAGGCATTCCAGACAAAGAGATATGTAGAAGGGAGGAATGAAAGGAATACGGATAATGGTGGATCTAAGATGCGACTGAAGTGTAGGATGATGGTATTGGAATGTTGGGTAGGAGGAAAGGGAAATGAAAAGATGAGAGAGAAAATCAAGTTATTCAGTGGGGAGAGGAAAAGAGCTCAGACAGGGCCATGTGGAGTTCCCAGTGCCTACAGAAATCCATCTGCAGATGTCAGGAGAGCAGCTAGACAGATGGGCCTGGAATTGCTGAAAGAGATCAGGATTGTATTTAGAGTTATTGGAAAAGACAAGTGTCTAAAACCATTATACTAAATAAAGTTTTCTAGGGCTTGTAGACACAGCAGAAAATCTGTAGCTGGATATAATTCTAGGGTTTCCTGACTTTGAAAATGGCACAGAAAGGGCTGGGGAGATAGTGCTGGCCTGAGAAACCCTCGGTGTGCTGTACCATCCTGAAACTGGGTGTGGTGGCACACGTCTGTAATCCCAGAGCTGGAGAGGCTGAGACAGGAGGACCACTATGAGTCTGAGGTGTGTAGTGAGACCCTGTACCAAATAATAATAATAATGATAATAATAATAA